TCGCCTCCTGGCTAGAACCTAAGCGCGCGCGAAGCGCGCGCGTGGTTCTAGTACATATATATATATATATATATATGTTCGGCGGACGCACAATGGGGGGGGGGGCGATAAATGGGGGGGCAGCGAGGGCGAAGGGGCCCTGTCGAGACGCGAAGGGTGCCTGTCGGGCCCGGAAAGGGCACCTTTCTCCCCCACCCGTTTATCGCCCACCAGTACTTCGCGCCCAACGTGTGACTGTGTGTGTGTGTGTGTGTGTGTGTGTGTGTGTGTGTGTGTTTGTGTTGGTGTTGGTGTTGGTGTTGGTGTTTGTGCGTGCGTGCGTGCGTGCGTGCGTGCGTGCGTGCGTGCGTGCGTGCGTGCGTGCGTGCGTGCGTGTGCATGCGGGCCCACGCCCGAATCGGCACACCCCTCACGCGGGCTCGTGCCCCCTCCCCCCCCTATGGAGCTCCTCTCGCTGCTACGCGCCTGCTCCGCAGCCATGGATATCTACGCCGCCCCGCGGCGCGAAGCGCGGTCGGGCCGATGATAAAGAAGATCGAGGTCGGCTCGGGGAGGGTACCCTGATGTTCTTCGTGCGTGTTGGATGTTCTCCTCCTTCCTCCTCTTCCTCCTCCTCCTCCTCCTCCTTCTCCTCCTCCTCCTCCTCCTCCTCCTCCTCCTCTCCCTCCTCTCCCTCCTCTCCCTCCCTCCCTCCCTCCCCGCCCCACTCCCTCCGCGCCCTTGCCCCTTAACTCCGACCTCCCACTTACTCCCCCTCCCACCCCTCGGCCTCCTCGCCTCGCAGGCTCTTCGATCTGGGCCGGCGTAGGGCCGCCCGCTCTCGAGGCGTGATCTTCTGTCCTATGGGTCCGATTGGGCATGTGAAGAGGGGCCCACGCCCTGCGCCGCGCGCAGCTGCACACGATTCGGCCCCTCCCGCCTCCTTGTCCGTGGGCGGGACGGGTGCCGCGCGAGCTCCGTGCCCAGGGGCGGCGGCGGCGGCACGAAGACCGCCCGAGATTCTCGAGCACGGCCTCCAGATCGATGTCGGACTTTTCGCTGCGCAGGACCCGGCTCCCCTCCCCCCATTCTAGGAGGAGCTGGAGGAGGAGGAGGCGGAGGAGGGTGGAGGACGGGGAGGAGCATGAGGAGGAGGAGGAGGAGGAGGAGGAGGAGGAGGAGGAGGAGGAGGAGGAGGGGGAGGAGGAGGGGGAGGAGGAGGAGGAGGAGGAGGAGGAGGAGGAGGAGGAGGAGGAGGAGGAGGAGGAGGGAGGAGGACAAGGAAGGATCACGAGGGAGGAGGTGGTGCTGGTGGTGATGGTGGCTGGCCTGCAAGGCGGGTTCATCCTCAGAAGGGCTCGCCGTCGGAGGCATCTGGCCCGTTGTCGGAGCCATCGACGGCGAGGCGTTGCCCCACCGCCTGCACACGGGGCAGGCCCGACACTCAGAGCCCAAAGGTCGCGAGCTTTGACGCCGGCGTGGGCAGTCTCGGGAGCACGCCTCCAGGGCTCATCTCGATTCCTCCGATGCGATTCGATTCGATTCGATTTCGATGGATTGCGATTCCGCTTCGATCTGGCTTTCGGACTCCGCTTCCATAGTGCATGCTGGCCTCGACGCCCTGGGGGCCTCGAGCACGAATGTTTCAAGCGGAGCCGGGCAGCAACACGCAGCTAGGGGCCCGAAGGTACGCCTCGGCTGGCCTCCGCAGGCCCCCCGAGTGGTTCGGGGTGGTCTCGGTCCCCTGGCGCCGCCTCCGGCGGCGCCCCTGCTGGGGCGCTCTGCGCTCCAGAGTTGGGGTTGGAGGCCACCCCGGACTACTCGGGGGTCTTGTCGAGGCCGGCCGGGGCTTACCCAGGGGAGCTGTTTGTGCGCAACCCCAGGCTTGACGAATTCAAGGGAGACAAAACCTCACCACCCACCAAACCACCCCAACTCAACCCGAAGGCCTCAATTTGCCGTCCATTTCCAGTTGGGTGTGTGTGTGTCCGGGAACATCGAAATAACACATGTGGAGCCCATACCCCCCCCAACCCGAAATTCGGGTCTTCGGGTTGGGTTGGGGTGGTCTGGTAGGTAGTCAAAACCACCCGGACCCGATCACTGGCGTTCACTAAACGGCTCTGGGCCTTTACTAAACGGCCCTGCCCTGTTCGATTCCTTCTTTGGGTGCGTTTACTGAGCGGCTTCGCGTGTCGGGGTGATTACAACGAGGGTGGATTCTTTGTTCTCTATTGAGACCACCCCGGACTGCCCAGGGATCCTGTCGAGGCCAGCCGGGATTTACCTGGGGGAGCTGTCTGTGCGCAACCCGAGGCCTCCTTAACTTTACTAGGGCAAGAGGCCACGCCCGGAGGACCAGCCCAGCCTTCACGTGGGCCACGTTCCAGGCGGACCAGGGCATGCGGTCCACCCTCTTCACGAACTGCTCGCCGCAGGTCCTCAGCTCGGACTCGCGGGCGTCCAGGGCTCGGGCCTCGCCTGGGCCCGGCCACTACGACAAGCCCCCGACTCGCGCCAGGACCCGCCCGAGGGGCTGGGGATCCGAGGAGGAAGGGGCAATCACCGATACCACCTGTGCCTCGTCTTCGTTTTTTTGGGGGGGCCTCCTGGGAGGCCCTCGTCTGCATCGCTGGATTCGCCTCGACATTGTGGTCGCGATGCGCAAGGGGGGGGGGGCGGGGATGAGTTCCACCAACTCGCCCTCGCCGAGGGCTTTCCTGGGGCGGCGCCGTCCTCCAAAGCGCCTCGTGCGGCTCGAGTTGCGGCTGTAGCTCTGCGTAGTACGCCTGCTGGCTGAGAGAGGCAGTATGATCTTGCAGTGGCCGCTTGGGAATGACATCATCTGCGAGGCTCTCGGCGCGTGCGGTGGCATGGCAGACAGGACGTCTGATCCACGAGAGGACTAGATTTAAGTCGGGCGTGTCCCTCTACAGGAAGACTATTCGAAAAGTCAGGGGACGAATTTTTGTCTATGTTTGAGTTTTTGTTTGTTTGTTTGTATCTTTCCTCCCAAAACCGCCTGTAGGGGACATGCCCGACCTAAGACTACATCCGAAGGTGCGGTCGGCCATCGCGCGCTCGAGTTGCACTGCTGATCCGGGTCTGCATTGACCCGGGCCAGAAGATCCCTGAATTCCGAGGCGGGAATTTCTACATGACCACCGCCTGGAAGATCAATTTTCGGGGACCTCGGCAGGCAGTGGATATGGACATATTCGGGCCCCCAGGGGTCAAAATATATCAATATCCACCACCCGCTGGGGCACCATGACGTCGGTTGCTAGGCGGTGGATATGGATAAATCTCCGCCTCGCACGAAGGAGTGAATGATTTTTTTTCTGTTCTGGTGAGCGGTGGCCCTTTTGGGCGGCCTCGGTGGGGGTGGGTTCGTAGCCTCGGGGGCGCCGGCGCGCAGTCACGCACGAGGGACTTGTGGCTTCGGGGGGCGCAGGCCTGTCGTGCTTTGCTGCGAGAGGCTGTGGCCCTGGGAGCGCGAGCCGGGCGTACTCTACGAGGTGACTGTTGCGTCGGGAGCGCGGCTCTGCAGCGGGCTGCTGGCGCTGTGGCCTCGGAGGCGCCAGGGCGTAGTTTACCAGCCTCGAACTTATCCCTATCCCCAAGATTGACACGCCAGAAGGCGACGACAATCTTAAGGGTGCGCCCTCAAAAGAGAAGGGGATCCCCAAGATTGGCATCGTGATGAGGAGATGCCCAGCGTAGGGATGGGGAGATGCTCCAGGCTGGTGAGTAGTGTCTTGCTGGGGACTGTGGCTTCGGGGCGACGTCGGCGGCATCCTCGGGAGGGAGCCGTGGCCTCGGGAGCGCGGGCGCGATGTGACTTGCGAGGGGCTGTGCCTGGGGAGCCCGAGTCTGCTCCTCCTCCTCCTCCTCCTCCTCCCCCTCCTCCTCCTCCTCCTCCCCCTCCTCCTCCTCCTCCTCCTCCTCCTCCTCCTCCTCCTCCTCCTCCTCCTCCTCCTCCTCCTCCTCCTCCTCCTCCTCCTCCTCCTCCCCTCTCCTGGCCTGTAAAGGAAAATGTCCTGGCCTCCTCCTCCTCCCCCCCCGATGAGTTCAGACTCTGCGATCTGTCGGGTGGGAGCCCGGGTGGTCTTCGGGCCTTCCCCCCCTCGCGCGGGCAGCCACCATCACACCGCTTGTCGGGCCGGACGAAAGGGGGGGATTGGAAAAGGGGGGGGTACGAAATTTGCTGCATGCAGCTGATTTCGGCTTCACCGAGGGGCCCATTCCTCGATACATTGCCGCCTCCGGCGCCGGGAGGCGCCGGGGAATTCAGCTACGTGAGCTGATTTTCACCCCCCCCCTTTGCCATCCCCCCCTTTCGCCCGACCCGAGCTTGGAGCTGGAGCGCATACAATCTCTAGAGCTGGAACTTAGGAGCTGGCGCTGCTGCAGGGACTGGGCAGACACCAGCGCCTCGCAGCCCTCGGTATATAATTGGGTGGATTTTCCGGGTGTTCTCGGCGGGTGCCCGCCCGTGGCTCGGCACCGCTCGGACGTGTGCATTGTTTTCCTGCGGCGAGGACCATCGAGGAGCATTCTTGACCATTTCGCGAAACAGCCACGCACGACACCGAAAAAAAAGCACAGGACATGGACGTCCGAGCGATGGCCAGGTGGGTGCCTCGTGGGTGCCTCGTGGGCGCCCCACGCGTGGGGGGTATGCCGAGGCCCTCGTGGGTGCCTCGTGGGCGCCCCACGCGTGGGGGGTATGCCGAGGCTTCTCGCCTGCTGCCCGCCCGCGGGCGCCCCGCGTTGAGGGGGGGGGTGCCGAGGTCTCGCCCGGTGTCCGCCCGTGGGCGCCTCGTGGGCGCCCCGGCACATCTTGCACCGCGCAGTGGGCACCACACGGCTGGCACCACACAGGCTGCACCACACAGCTTGCACCACATAGCTTGCACCACTCAGCACGTAGATCGCACCTCGCACACTGCACCACGCAGCGTGCACCGCGTAGCTGGCACCTCACAGCTTGCACCACAAAGCTCGCACCGCAGAGCCTGCACCGCCTAAATTGCACCACATACCTTGCACCACATGGCGCACACCAAGTAGATTGCACCATGTATGTTGCACCACATAGGTTGCGTCACATCTCTTGCATCGCTTAGCTTTCATTCCCCTAGCTTGCACCACGTAGGTTCCCCTTCCAAGGGAAGAGTAGATTCCACCACTCGCCAGAGCCTGGACTTATCTGGTCACCCAGGGACAGTACAATTTGCTCGTGATTCTGCCTCATCGTTCATGTTCTGTATGGGATCACACCATTCCAGCCCAGCTTGTATCCCCCCTCATTATCTGGGTCCAAAAATACCATTCGCGCTCGCCCATCTACCTTAAACGATCAGTTTGCGTGCGCACCTTGTCAGCATACCACAAAATCGTCACGCACGCGCACATGGGGACGTCGCAGTAAACACGTCAGTGCTGCAGGCACTTCACCATGCCAGCCTCCAGCACCACTGTTTTTCTCACTGGTAGAATTTTGCGCGCGCGCGTTGAAATCTTGCACGAAGCGTATGTGCTTAGCCATTTTGTCAATCAGACCAATTGTGCCACATGCACGCGCATATTGAACACGTTAAACCACCATCGCGCGCCTACCAGCTCTGTCACATTCTACCATGCGGGCCACACGCGTACGTCTCCGCGCGCGCACGTCGCAGCCATATCAGAACCTCTTGATTTCGCGGCCTGCATTCATCATCGTCATCATCATCATAATCATCATCGTCGTCATCATTATCATCATAATCATGATTCTCATTATTTATCATCATCATCGCCATCATCATCATCATCATCATCATCATCATCATCATCAGCATCAGCATTATCATCAGCATCCTCCTCATGACTTTCGTCGGGATCATCACCGCCGCAGTCATCGTTCTCGTCGTCGACGACGTCGCCCTCGCTAAGCTCGTCGCCCTCGTCCAAGCGTTGCGCGCGGGTGCATTCATCATCATCCTCCTCCTCATGACCTTCGTCGGGATCATCACATCCGCAGTCATCGTTCTCATCGTCTTCGTCGTCGCCCTCGTCAAGCTCGTCGCCCTCGTCCAAGCGTTGCGCGCGGGTACGTTCATCATCGTCATCATCATCATCATCATCATCATCATCATCATCATCATCACCACCATCATCATCATCATCATCATCACCATCAGCATTTTGACATTTATCATCCATAACATCATTCTTATCGTCATCATCCGCATCAGCATCATAATCATCATCATCGTCATCACCTGCACCACTGTCATTATCATCGTCGTCGCCATCATTGTCAGCGTCGTTCTCATCTTTATCACCATCGTCTCATGCTATCTCCATCGATGTCGTCGGAAGCGTGTCGTCCCCATCTCCACTGTCATCGGCATCTGCATCGGCGTCATCACCACTGCCATCGCCATCGTCGTTGGCATCGCTGTCTTCATCATTGCCACAACCATATCGCGACCTGGATGACGGACTTATCTGCGCGGTTGGATTCCACACCCCCGTGCGTTCGTTGAGACCATGGCCATATGAGCTTTGCCGATCAGTTGCGGCTGGGAGCTGACGAAGACAAGTGGAGCAAGCATGAATTTGACCACATGGCTTGCACTTCACAGCTTGCACGCAGTTTACATTACGCAAATTGATTGCACCACATAGCTCACATCACCTGGGTGCAACAAATATATTACATCACATAGCTTACACCACATAGCTTGCACCATGTAGCCTGCACGCTCACAGAGAAGTGATGTACTGTCCGGGGCCTATGCTGGCAGACCTTACATATATATGTTTATAAAGGTATAAATATGAATATCGGAATTTATGCCATTATGCATACACATCTTTATATCATACTCCGTCTTGGTGGTGGGGGGGGAGCGAGGGGGCAGGTGGGGGCCATCATCATGATGATGGTGACGATGATGATGGTGATGACGATCATGGTGATGGCCATGATCATGATGATGATGATCATCATGATGATCATGGTGACGATAGCGAGGCCGATGATGAGGCTGATACTGCTGATGCTGATGACGATGATGCTGATAATGAGGACGATGGTGATGACATGTCATAATATGAGGATGATGTTGATGGTGATGCTGATGGTAATGGTGATAGTTTTGATGGTGATGGCTGTGATGCTGATGATGCTGCTGCTGCTGACGATGATGCTGCTGGTGCTCATGATGATGAAGATGATTATGCTCATGATGGCGATGATGAAGAAGACAAAGACGACCAGGATCACAGAGGATGGTGAAGCTGTTGCAGCTGATAATGAAAGGAGAAGGGGAGGAGGAGGATGAGGAGCTGGAGCAATCGGACGTAGTCCGTTCGGGCGGGGACGGGTGCCTGGGGAGGGCCATCAAAATTTTGCCAGCCGTGCCGAGGGGGGCGACATCCCTCACACGCTGCGACAGGCCCTCCCCAGGCCAATTTACTCTTGAACAGAGCTTGCACTGCGCCACAAGGCGCCGCCAGGAGAGCCCC